TGAGTATCGCGAAACTCTTCTCCTGCGGGGTCTGGAATCTCCGGCGTGGGAGGAGATGGAGGTGGGTCGCTTCTTTCATGATCTTGAGAAACGGATGAGTGGGCTACAAGTGCCTTGTTCCTGATGCGCGAGTTCCACTGGTTCTTCACATCGTTGTCTGTTCGTCCGGGAAGCTGGGAAGCAATGTAAGCCCACCTGTGATTGATATCAGTGATGAGGATAAAAAAGTGATGGTGCCGGATCAAACACCTGTTTCCAACAAGCCCATGGAGCTCGATGAGCTTTTGATTCTCCTCGTCGCTGAATTTCCCACGTTTAAGGTCCGGCCTCAAGTAGTTCATCCACCTTAGTCTACAGCTCTTCCCACTTCTTTGGAGCCCTGCAAGAAAGCAGCGAAATCAGTCCTATAGAAAACTGAGTGAGTGAGATCGTCAATCAAACCCGCAAGCTTGGGAACAGTGGTCCATACGTTTCCACACCCGTGCTGCAGTATGAAATTCAGCAATAGCTCGTCCTCTTTGGGTGACCACAGTCCCTTCCTCACGATCGAGCTCGAGCTCGTCGCGCCTCCCAATTCATGATCGTCGGGTTGTTCCCTTCTCGAGACCATGGATCGGTGAAGAACTTTGTGACAAGGATTTCAAAGAAGATGAATTCATTTCAAGCTTGCTCTTTTGGTCATGGATCAAACTCATGGAAGGACAATATCAGTTGACACACATTTCTCACATTCCAACCACCATACACAAAAACACGGTAATGTTTTCATTTTTTTTCTTCTTTCTTCTTCTTTTTGTCCCAGCTTCATATTAAGAATCTGACAATAACTTTATTTTCTACTGTCCCAAGGTACAAAGCTTGAAAGTCCTTTCCGCAAGCTGGCCCTTTGACAGAGATTGCAAGATTGAGGCCAATGTTTTAGATCTATAGTTCTGAGTACAGTGTTTCACCTTTTTTGAGTCGTAATACCTTAAGATGAAATTACTATATAAAAATAAATTCTACAAATCCAGTTTCTAAAATCTTTTTTGTGACAGAGAAATGATTAAAGAAATGCATTATGTCAAGTAACACATATTGGATTATAACTCATGCTTGAAAATTTCATTTCAAAATATATACCATCTTAGCAGTATATGTCAAAACAATTAATATGCATCACAGAATGTTTTTCTTAGAAGAAAATCACTCAGCTTGAAATAATTTTAGTATTTTCTTTTTAACAAAGAATAGCATCATTTCAGAAACGTTTAGGTTCAGGTTTAGTAATGGGGATTAGTATAAGTATATTCTAGGCATAAAAAATCACCATTTTTTTTATAAAAGGGAGAAGATGTGGAAGTGGTGGTCATAGCAGCAAAGTATGGATATAGTTTCCTCCAATTTTCATGCTTGAACTTCACACCCAACACCTGATAAGGTGATAGAATTTCCACTCTCCAATCATTTTCCAAAACTAGAAGTGATAAATGGTCAAAGACTAAAAGAGAGAGTCCTAAAGAATGAGATTCATTCCCCACTAATGTGTCCATGCTTTCTCATAGAGGTGGTGACAATCCTATTAGATATGGACTAACTTTGGTTTACAGGATTTTGATACACTATGAAATTCTTTCATTTCTTTGCATCCCCCACATTAATATAACTACTTTTAATTAAGAAATTTTTTTAATTGCAAACATGCTGTGCAGCAATATAATTTCTCATTTTTATTGCCTTTAAATTTCAATTACCAGTTTTTTTTTCTTCGCATTAGAGATTAGCTTTAAAAGTAAAAATAAAGCAATAAAAGATGGGTCTTATTAACTATTTCTGTACCTTCACTTTAAATGAACTTGATAATAGTATATATTTAATTCAGTTAATTTAAAAATTAATGTATTCAATGGATCTATATACATATATACATGTGTATATATATATATATATGTGTGTGTGTGTGTGTGTGTGTGTGTGTGTATATGTATATATATATATATGATTGGAGCACATTATTTATATGCACATAGATCGAGAAGCTGTTTTCTCGCCGAGCATTTCTTCGTACGTCAGTTTGCCTCAAGATCAATCTTAAGGGACCAATCGATTGCAGGTTCCATCCACCATCCATGCTGCTCCCAGGACACCGTGCGATTTAACGATTCTGCTCAACGACACCTGGCACGAGTTGATTCAATGCCCAGCTCTGTCTTCCAAGCTGGCTGGCATTGCATGCCAGCAGCTTTCCCGGAAAACAGTTTGATGGGGCAATCTTTTTTCACAGGATCAAGCATTTAGCTGCTTGTCAATCACTTTAATTTACATCGATCTCTTTCGATTGTGTACACTTGATCAGCGTCGATTGTGCAAACACTTCAACATTTTGGCAGCCAGCTTCTTGTTTCGAAGACCGAGCTACAAAACTTTGAAAAGTATCAACACTCAAAGCAATTTATTTGAAATTCTCCTTTCTGGAAGGAGAGTTTTATGCGTTCAAGCTGTTTTTCCTCTTTTGACACTAAGCTCTTTTTCTTTTTTCTATGAGTTCATCTCTGGAACTTTGTGATTTCTGCAAGTATCTCTCGATTCCAAAAAGAAAACCAACCGCAATACAAATTCAAAGAACTTGCTTGCCCCAGAAATACAAACACAGATATTTCAAACTGATAACTGCAAACTTGGAGGAGTTGAGAACACTCTCGCGGACTACAACATCCAAAAGAAAAGGAGTTTATGCTCCAGCTGGTTCTGCGTCTCCATGGTGGCATGCAAATCATCGTCTCATGTTTTGGATATTTAAAACTTGTTCACAAAACTTTTTAGCGATGACTCCAAAGACTCCTTGGCGAAGTGATCGATGTCCAAGGCCTGCAAATCCACAGACAAAATCCTAAGAAAATCAATGGAGAGATGGAGAAACCTTGGCACGGATGCAGATGCATGCGACGCGCGAAGCATCATCGACCGAGACGGACGCGTCCTGAACAATCAGCTGGTGCTGGCGCAGAATCCACAGCACACTCAACAAGAGCCTGGCCTGCATCCTGCAGCTCATGTTGACGAACACATCCGACTTGCATATGTGCAGCCCCACGCTAGCACTCGATCTCGCTGCTGCCGCCATCGTCATCGCATTCCACTTGGGCTTGGAAGGATCCATGGCGGCGCTCTTGCGGTGCTCGAGCAGCATGGATCTCGTCGCCGACAGCTCCTGGACTTGATTCTTGAGCGATTGGATGAGCTCCATCGTCTCCTGCACCACTCCGCATCGATCCATCTTTCCCGTGCAGCGCAAACAATCATTGAGTGATCAAGCAAAGCACAAGTGTGGATTGATCAGGATACCTTTGAGGCTTCCGTTGTTGGTAGCAGCGACCTCAGCCGATCATACAGCCCTTGCAGCTCTTTCCTTCGCTCCCTCTCCGACCATATGTGATTGATCCGCTGCGCGTACGTCCGGGTCTTTCCCTGCGCAAGCATCGCCGGGCCCAACCCAATGCGCGGATTGATGCTAGCAGCATTCAAGGGGCAAACTCCATGATCCAGAAACACGGGAAGAAACTGACTCAAGCTTGAGCCCTCGCGCTTGACAGGCTTCACCATTGATCGTAAACTTACACTCGAATGTGGTCGTCTAGAAGAGAAACTCTCGCCCTCGAGAACTTACACTTGCTCTTACAATCAAAAAGGACTTTCTCCCCTCCACCAATCTTCTCGACCGCTCCCCCACCACCTTTCGGTGGTGTAGTTATGAAACGATCGGCGTGGATGTTGGATACTACGCAACATCTACGCCGAGCATATATTTGCTTTTGCCAGCCAGCACAAGACACGGTTATCATTTTAACGACAGATAATCTCTTTAATGCCAAACAAACCACTTTATTTTGATGAAATAGATTGGCAAGAAAGAGATGCTCTTTAATATCTCCTCTCCTCTCTGTCTCTCTCTCTCTCGTATAGATGCTACTCTCTCTCTCTCCTCTCTCTCTCTCGTATAGATGCTACTCTCTCTCTCTCTCTCCTCTCTCTCTCTCTCTCTCTCTCTTAGATGCTACTGCTGCTACCGCTGACACTGTGGCAGAAGCTCAAATCCAGGCACTCGTCTTGCAGCTGGAGCTCAACCAGCGCTCGCAGAGGACATGCCTCGCCGCACAGCAAGCAGTCGCCGCTAGAAGTGGTGCTGGCCACCGCCAGGTGATGATGATCCAAAAGGTGGACACCAGTGCTGCTGATGCTGCTGCCATTGCTGCTGATGCTGCTGCTGCTGCTCTCGTATGCCATACCGCTGCAGGAGCTTTGCCAGACAATGCAACCCAGATCGCCATCCATCATCAATCGCTGTGCTTCCTCAGCTCCCTCTAAGCTCTTCTCACTGTCTTGGCGAGGGAGTGCTGTTTCACTTGTGATCGAAGAAGAACTTCTTCCAGAGCTGCTAGAACTCCTCCCCTTGGCCTTGAATCTGACGCGGGAGTTCCAATGGTTCTTGACATCGTTGTCCGTTCTCCCAGGAAGTTGAGTAGCAATGTAAGCCCATCTACACAACGAAGGGAGAGATGTCGATCCGAAGCCAAACACTCGAGCAAAAGTAAAGTACCTGTTTCCAACCAATTCATGCAGTCGACAGAGAGTTTCCTCCTCCTGCTCGCTGAATTTTCCGTGCTTCAACTCCGGTCTCAAGTAGTTCATCCATCTCAGCCTGCAACTCTTGCCAGTTCTTCGCAGGCCTGGAACTCGAAAAGCCACACAACAACAATCGGTCATCAGAAACTTGCAAATTCCAACTCTGGAAAGCTTACCTGCAAGCTTGGGCACGGAGCTCCAGACTTGATATCCATACTGCAGGATGTGCTTCCTTAGAAGCTCGTCCTCTTCAGGAGACCAGAGTCCCCGCCGCAGTTTGCTGGACACTGCAGCATCGTCTCCCTCGTACTCTTGTTTCGAGGCTGTCTCAACTGAACTCATCCTCCCAACTTCCAGGAAATCGGAAGCAAACACCCCGACTTCCAATCCAAGCTCTCTACGAAGGAATTGTTCCCCCTTCTGCTGTTTCTTTGTCCTTTTCCAACTTGAAAACGATCCAAGTCATGACAAGGGATCGGGTGACACACATTTCTCAGGAATTTAGTAACACGCTTCATGCAAGGCATCTTTCTCTGTGCCCCACACGGTGCCTTTTCTCTTAGCTTGTGTCTGGATGAGGCTCTGCAAAGCTGGAAAGTTCTCACCAGAAAAAAGAGTGAGAGATCAGAAATGCGCGAGAACAACAGAACAACTTACACTTGCGATGATTCCTGCGTCGGCAGTCAGGAGCCGGACAGCTTGGAGCAGTGGCGGTCGTTTCCCAGCTTCCTGCAGTTGAAGTAACCACACCGGTTGAGCAGCTCCAAGGTTTGGCTGCTGCTAGAATTGCTCGCAGCCAGCAACGTATCGTCTTCCTCGTAGACAACGTAGGGAGCTTGCTCATTCGGCCTGGAAAGCAACCGCTCCGCTCCTTTCAGCACATGATACTCCCAGCCCTGGACGTCGACTTTCAGCAGCGAGACACGCATTTCGTCTGGGATCACGGAGTCCAGGGTCAGTGTTGCGACCGTAAACGGAACCACGCGATTGCTTTTGAAAGCAAGCTTTGCTCCTGATAGCGAAACGGCGGAGTTGTCAAGCCTCCCAATCACCTATGAGAACAACAAGGTATGTAAAGAGCTAAAAACAAAGAGTACTATGTAGACAAAGCAGCCGAAATAAGTTTAGCAATGCAGGAAGAGGAGGTGTTCTTCTCATCTAGAACTACCATTATCACGCAATGCAGTAGTTTAGTAGTATGTTCTATCATGCAAGACAACGCTAAGAGATCGTGATCTAAGACAGTAGCACGCACTGCAAGAGCTTTGCCAAGAGAACAATCTTTCCAAGTACCTTGTGGAGCGTAATGCTTCCCGGAGTATCAGACACGGCCGCGTGAAAGAGCTTGACGACGCTTCCAGCTCTGTTCAAGTAGACACCATCGCAGAGCTTGTTTAAGTTGTCCACCACTGGCTCAAACGCAAGAACCCTAAACCCCATCGCCGCGGCAGCGAATGCAGCCATTCCAACGTTCGCTCCCACATCCACCACGACTCCCTCGCCCGGATTCCTGCCCTCCAGAATTTTCTGCACCGTCTCGGAGATCTCCGGCTTCTGGAACAGCTTCCCCTTGATCACGCGAAGGAAATTGCGATTCGGCCTCTCCGCGCTGCCTAAATCCGCGATCGAGATGAAGAAGGGATACCTCACGCCTTCGATCTTGTTCGCGAACACCGGCCATCCCTGCTCCGATCTCTCGCACGAGTACTCCGGGAATGCGCCGCCGATCCTAGGCGCCGATCGCTCCCTACCGCCCTCTAGAACCCTAAAGAAGAGATAGATCAATGCAGCGCAGGCGGCACACCAGAACACCAGAGCCTTGTGTTCTCGCCGGGCTCGCATGGTATACTCTGCAAATTTAGGGCCTGTCCGGAGGATCGAACCCTCAACTAACACGATCCAACGGCTGGTAGTTAAAAGCCGTGGGATTGACATAAGCCCTTAAAGCCCTGCGCGAGAGATCGTAGAGTCGAGAGAGGAGAGGATTGACGCAATGCCGCCGGGTAGCGATCGCAGCGATCGGAGTCGCGCAGCGGATGAAGCAGTGGGAGAACAGAATTCCAATCCCTGGGGAGCGCTTGTGGCAGTGTCGGAGAGCGCCAAGCAGCGCGATCGGGTAAGATTTCTCTCGCTCTCTCGAAATATTTCGCTCGGCGCTCACGCGCTTTCCAGGTGGATATGATGCTATGGCGCCCGGAGCATATGCTGGGACGCACTGTCCGCGAGAAAGAGTTCCTCTTCTCCGAGCCAGGGATCAGCGGTCTACATTGCACGATTTCCAGGAGGAAAGCCGATGGCGAGGAAGGGTTTGTGACCTACATCAAAGATTCGAGGTAAATAGAGCGCTCTTGAGCATCGCTTGATATGGAGTGTGTGATTTCCAGCTTGAATGGGACCAATGTCAATGGCCGGAAGCTCACGAAGAACGTGGAAGCAGTGCTCAAAGACGGGGACTTGGTGTCTCTGTTGTACGTGTCCAACCTTTACTCGTATCTCTATCGGGATCTCGCCTCGGCAAAGCGAAAGGCCGTTTCTGGGGAGAATGACGAGAACAAAAGGCCAAAGAAGGACAAAGGCATACAAATCTGTGAACCTTTGGCGGCGCATGGTGGCACTCAGGTTGGTTGGCGATGTTTTGCTGCTTGCTGAAGTAGCGACTTTCTCAGGATGCGGGACTAGAGCTACGAACAGCGGAAGAGTACAAGATGAAGCTGGAAGAAGCCTTGCGAGAGTAAGACGAAATGCAAAAGTGTCGAGCTCCATCTGAGCGCTTAACTTTTTTTGCTCTGCAGAAATGCGGCGCTAACAGAAACGCTGGAGAAGAAACTCCAAGAGGAAAAAGAGAAATGGGAAGATGAGAAGCGCAGAGAGGCGGAGGCTCTGGAACAAAAAACTGCAGATCTTACGAAGGCAATTAACAAGGAAAAAGGCCTTTCCGATTACCTCAAAGAGGTCTGCAGGAACGATCCAAAAAGTTTTTTAACTTTGCAAATTCTTACAGGAGCTGAGAAAGATTCGTCAGCGCATCGACGAGATCCTGGAATACGCTGTAAACTATTTCTCAAGGCTCTTGTGCTTCTAACTTTACAATGGTGTTTCGTTAGAGGAAGACGAACAATTCAAGCAATGGCGCTGAAAATGCTGCATCTGTTGAGGGCCAGCTGAACGAACGCGGCGCTTTAAGGTTCGATTGCTTCTTTTCTTCCATACTGTTTTCTAATCTACACCGTCACCGTCACGACCAGGGAAATTGGAGTGAACGCGCGAGGATTGGATCCCGGGATGATGGAGGCCGTCGCAGGGCCCAGCAGATACAGGGGAGAAGATTCTTCTGGTCTACCGGGAGCAGGGGGTGATGCTGCTTTGGACGTGCGTTACAAAGAATTCAAGCTCACGACGAGCGAGAGCATGCCGTACGTGCCTGAGGACTCGGACGAGGTGAGAAACAGGCTCCGGCGCGCCGCAGCACCACTCACGTCGGCCGACCTCCGAGCTAACGAGAGCTTGCCGAAGACGTCCAACGATGAAGAAGCGAATGTAGGAGGCCGGGGTGGTGAAAAACTGGCTTCAGTGGCTCCAGCGGCGGCACAGGCTACGAGAAGAGGTCGCCGTCACTCGTCCGACGTGAGATCCGACGCGAGATCACCGGTGCCGGGCGACGAGGTAGTTGGCCCGATGCCAGCCGAACAGGGACAGGGAGAAGATGTCGCTCTGGTGGAAGGCCCTCGTGTTCTCCAGGCAGGAGCTGGAGTTTTGGCGGCGGCGGCAGCACAGGCCGGGCACGGTGGCAGCCAAGTCGGGAACTCGGACACACAGCCAGGGGGTGCGCATCCCGTGGAAGAGCTGCTTGGATACAGCCAGACGCAGCAGCTCGAGGAATTCACGCAGTTTGGCCCAGCTCTCCCACAGCGTCCTCCTCGTCCACGCATGATTCAGGTACTCACGGAGGAAGCGCGAACTCTGCACAGGATCATCTTCAATGGACAAGAGATGCTGTAAGTACGATGCTCTAGGCGGCGGGATTTTGATCTGGTACCTCGTTTTGCTTTCGGTTGTTTCTTCCCCTTCTTTTAGCAGACTGATCGGTGTGGTACATACTTCTTTATAACTTCTTTCAGCGAGATCGAAGAACGAACTTTACACAGCGGGATAGGACTGACGGGCTAAATGCCTTGATTATGAAAACGGTTTTGTAACTAATTAGTATACGGTTTTCCGATTCATGGATATAGTTTTATTCGTAAATCTCGACGTAGTGCATTCGGTTATACTTTGTGCTCAAAACCATATTGTGGTGAGATTGGTATCCAGACCGTAATCAACCTGGGGTTGCTCAGCCACAGCATCCTTGATCACTTGGCTTGGTATTCAGATTGATAATAGGAATTTATTAATATTTATAAATATTAGTTACTATTTGGTCTGCAATATAATGATAATGACGTAACAATTATGGTTTAAAAATCTTAATCACCATACATTACCGGTGATTTCATGCGACTAACGGTTGCCGGCTTTACAAGTACGAGTCTGCCCCACCAGTTTACAAATATTCTTGCAAATCCGACCGCAAAGAAGTTGATATTCAAGGGTCATGTATCCAACTGCATCATCAGCCCCTCTTTCTTGGACATTTCCGAGTGAGAAAGATTCAATTCTTCTTCTCCAGTCCGAGATAGATAGATCAAAGATGATCGCCTCCTCTGTGGGACCTCCGTGAGCATGCTATGATGCACAAAGGCTCGTTTTTTGGGTCTCATCAGGATAGCGCCATTGTGCCCAGTCGTGCTACGAATGCCCTAGAAACATTGGTGGCATTAGACTAGGAATGTCTGATTCTTTTGCTTCGATCAAGATCTTTAGTCCTTTTAATAAGCTTGGCTGGTAGTTATAATTTGGCTTTTTTGTATTCGCATAGGATTTTAAGATTGAAAGGATTTCTCAAACTTCCCATTCTGAATTGCCTACTATTATTCACAACTGTTTTTATTCTTTTGCTGCCTTGGTTTTGAGGGTGATAAATTAGCTTTTGTTCTGGCAAACTACAAGTTTTCAGCATTTGCTTTTAAAAATTCTTTCTTATTGAGCTATTTTAATTATTGAGATTTTAAAGGTAGATTAAACACAAAAAGTATTAAATAAAAACCACAATAATCAAGCTATGCTAAATGCAAAGCTCAATAATTTGATATTATATGAATTCAAGTGGAGAGTCATGCCCTCTCGATATGCTACTCCTCAAGAAAAGACCCACTCTTAGGACTTTTTGATGTTGATATCAAGTGGTAATAAACTTAACCATCAATAAGAGTCGGACTAAGAAATAGCTCTAATATTAAGTTATAAGTGAATAAATTTTCCATTTTACTTTAGTCACTTAACTATACTTTTGACCACTTTGAAAAGTCCCACTCACAACTTCCATAAGTTGTATTCTCGACTTGAGGACATACTAACCCCATGAATGGTATTTATGCCACTTAGCCTTTGCACATGCTCCATATATTCAATATCATAATAAACACACAAAAGTACCATTAACATATCAGCCCATTATATTAAAGTTATATCCATTCACCTTTGTTTCATGTGTAGTCCAAAACCACTTATACCATAGTTTTATCTCCCAAAGACTAAGTTATCTGTGCATGAGTGGTCATCCCAAGACCATATTATAGTATCTTTATAATGTCTGAAAACGTAAGAAATACCCTTCTCTAATATCCCTTTTTCAATCCCTACTAAATCTCTATTTATCCACAACCATACTTGCCAACACAGCCATTGGGTCAAGGCTTGAAGGCTTGACCACTAAGTTCTATTGACTTTTAGGACTTCCTTATTACGTGATTATGCCTTTAGTCACTGCACAAAAGGATTGCTCCTTTTCCTTTCCATAGTCCAAGACTTTGGGATGAAATTTCAAAACACTGTTGTAATGTATGTGATCATGGGATAAAATTTAAATATACTATCACTGTGGATCCTTGAAACTTTAGGGGATAAATGGGGATAAAATAATCACCAAAGGTTTTTTTATCAAGCAATTGCCTCTTTTTCAATTAGCTTAAGGGGAGAAAGATAAGATGTGGCTTTACGTGAGCCTAGCCATATGGCTAAAGCGAAGTTCTGATAAGCCACACTAGGTATTTAAGTAGGTAGTGCCACCCACACTTAAATTAAGATCATCGATCATTCAATCTCCTAGGAAAGTTAAAGTTGACTCTTGAACACTTCACCAAATTACCTAACTTGTCCATACATGTTCATTTTAACCTCAAACTCCTCAATGGTTATATCATCGCCCACTATATAGGTATAACCTTCCTTAATCACACTAATGTTTTCTGACCAAACTAGATTTATTGGAGTCCTCCCTTTACTATCATTTTGAAGCTCACCAAACCCCCAAGGGTCTAGGAGATGATCACTTTGGGCTTTCACCTTCGGACTTGAACTCGGATTCAGATTCAGACTCAGATTTAGATTTAGATTTAGACTCAAATTCAGATTCAAATTCAGACTTGAACTGAGTTCCCACCCTAGTTTTGATCTCAGTCTCAATCTTGGTCTCGGTCTTGGTCCCGGTCTTGTTCCCTATCTTGGACAAACTCCTTGAACTCCATTTTGGATTTGGTCCCAACACTTATATGTGTTACAACACTTGTCATGTGTTAGTCTTTCTTGTGTCTCTTTTTAGATACTCATTCATTGATTGCTTCGTGTTCATTCTTTGAACACTTTGTTCAGAGCTCCACTCTTACTCTTGACTTTTCGAGTCTTGGTCTAAACATATTATACTTGTTGGACTTCCACTTTGACCACTGCCATATGGCATATTTTCAGCTTCTCTTTTGGCCTTAGAGTGATTCACATACCCCAAGATTTTCAAACTTTTGGGTAACACCCTTCTTTAATATTTCTTTAATATTTGTATATGATATCTTGATTTACTTAGGTGACTGATTCAAAAAAAAAACCTTGATTAAATAAGCATCCCTAATTGCATTAGGATGATGTGTTGCATGTGAGAAACAAAATCCCTAGGCCCCAAAGGGGAGTCAAAAAGGTGCCATGTGGTAGTGGTGGAGGCAAAAGCCAAATGAGTGTAACACATTTGAACTAAAAGCTCCGACTCAAAAAGTCAAGAGCAGGAGTGGAACTCCCAATGAAGGGCTCGAAGAACGAGCACGAAGTGAGCAATAAGTGAGTCTCTAGGAAAGGGATACAAGAGGACCAACACATAACACATGGAAGAATCTGAGATGGACCCGAGATGGACCTGAGATGGAGTCCGAGATGGGCCCAAGATGGAGTCTGAGATGGACCTAAGATGGAGTCCGAGGTAGACCTAAGATGGAGTCCGAGGTAGACCCGAGATGGAGTCTGAGATGGAGTCCGAGATGGACCTGAGGTGGAGTCTGAGATGGAGTCCGAGATGGACCCGAGATAGAGTTCGAGATGGACTTGAGATGGAGTCCAAGATGGAGTTCAAGATAGACCCAAGATGGAGTCCGAGATGGACCTAAGATGGAGTCCGAGGTGGACCCGAGATGGAGTCCAAAGTGGACCCAAGATGAAGTCCGAGATGGACCCGAGATGGACCCGAGATGGAGTCTGAGATAGACCTGAGATGGAGTCCGAGATGGACTCGAGATGGACCCGAGATGGAGTTTGAGATGAACTCGAGATGAGTTCCGAGATGGACCCAAGATGGAGTTCAAGATGGACCCGAGATGGAGGCCAAGATGGAACCGAGACCGAGACCGAAACCAAGACTGAGACCAAGTCCAAGTTCGAGTCCAAGACTGAGACCGAGTTTGAGTCCAAGTCTGAGTGCAAATACTAATATAGGTTGTTGGGTGAAAGCCCAAAGCGATCGTCCCCCAGGGGAGGGGGGGGGTTGGGGGGGGGGCTACAGGGAGTTCCAAAAGTATAGTAGGGAGAGTGTGGGGGTTGGACCCCAATGGAGCTAATTTGGCCAAGAAAGGTCAGTTTGGCCCAGGAAGGCTATACCCAACTGCTGGGAGATGGGATGACTACTAGAAAGTCCAAGGCTAGAGTGAATATAGATTGACAAGTGGGGTAAATTGGTGAAGTGTTCAAAAGCTGATTCTAGTTCCCTCGGGAGATTGAATGGTCGATACTCCTAGTCCAAGTGTGGGTGGCACTATCTACTTGGATACCTGGTATGGCTCAACAGAACCTCGCTCTAAGCCCATGGCTAAAGCACCCAAAGGCGGAAAGCGGGGAGAGTACCCATAAGGCTCATGTAGGGCTATGGTGTTTTGAAATGTCTTCCCAAAGTCCCAAATGATGGAAAGGAAGAGGAATAATCCTCTAGTGTAATGACCAAGGATGCAGTCACATGACAAAGAAGGAAGTCCTAGAGAATGAGAGGACTTAGTGGTCGGGTCTGTGGGCCTTGATCCAGTGGCAGTATTGGTGAACATAGCCGTGGATAGAAAGGGATTTGGTGGGGATTGGAAAAGAGATATTGAGAAAGGCTATTCCCCATGTCTGTGGGCATCTTAAGGATGCTAAAGAGTGGATCTAAGATGATCACTCATGGATGTAGTCTTTGAGAGACAGAATTATAATGTAAGTGGTGTTGGACCACCAATGTGACCAAGGTGAATGGGCATGGCTTTAGTGTAACAAGCTAATATGTCAGTGGTACCTTGGGGTGTCGATCATGAGATCAGACATGTGGAGTACTTGGACCAAGTGCAAAGGTTGAGGAGGTTGTGATTAAGATTCCTCCAAGTGGTTGGAGGTGTGGTTAAATGATTAAAATAGAATGGAAAAATTAGTCACTTACATTGCAATCTTAAACCTAGACTACAAATCAAAGTTAAAAATATCAGCATACTCATTTTTTAGCTAGTCAACTATCACAACATAAAGACTATATGAGGGATTTAAAGAGGTAATAAAAAACCAAGAAGGAAACATAGTTAAAAGTAATGAAGAGATAAAAGTGAATAGAAGGATGAAGTGAAATAAAAATAAAATGAATGAAAAAGAAAAATGAGAATATAAGATAAGGGGGAGAAATCTTAAAATTATACTTGACATAATTGCATTGCAATTAATTTATACTAAGGATGAGGTTAAAAACATGACTTAGCACCACTTATAATGATTAAAGTTTAAACTTAAAATCATCCATACATACAATTAGGTCTACCTTAATCCATGCATATGTATGTATATAGTTATTGCCATAGTGAATGAAAACTAACTCTACCATATAATAACCAATATAGAGAAAATACAAAAAAATTGTTGTTATAAAAATAAATTTAGAACTTAAAATATAACCCATTACAATCTTTTTAAATTTATATCCTAAAGTAACATTGCTCTTTTGAATATTGTATTCTAGATCATGATCTCTACCATCCCCTCATCCAAAAACTTGTCACCACTAATTATCATCATGTTGTGCATAATAGCACAAATTGTGATGCAATTGGATTGTGTGTAAAGATCTCATTGATAAAGCCTCTTATTTAAATATCACCATTGCATTTTTAGTTAACCAAACGCCCACTGAACTACAATTTTAGTAGAGAAGTGCATAAAGTTGTAATTGAAATAGTCCTCTCTAACAAACTTTGCTGGAAATGGAATAAACATCCCATAGCAACATCATATCCATCATTTGCTATCAAGTACTCGGGGATGTCCCCAAAACTAGTATGGTAAATGAAACCATTTAACCTTTCACTACAAACCATATATACTTGTGGACCAAACCCTAGGATCATTCATATATCTAGGATATCTGGCTTTTAAGTCTAAAAAGCAAGTTTGACTATAATTGCCTACACTTGAATTGCTGTTTATAATTAATCCACTCTTGTCTATCAAAACCAATTGAAACATTAATCTAGATGTGTGTGCAATCAATAGTTCCAACACAATTTGGAAAACTTATAACTTCTGGAAACCATCCTTCACTACTTGAAGTTCATCCCCTTCTAGCCACTTAATATATATGTTCCCATGCTTCTCTACAAGAAACTTCTTCAAAATCTTGATGCAAGTCAAGTGATAGCATTTAAATTTCTAGTCCATGTATCCCTTGTAGCTAACTGCTGCAAAAAAATAGTTATTTGTTTTGCTATAAAGTTTTTCCTTCATGAAATGTTATGAAGGATTCATACTGAAATCATCTTCTAGCAAATCACAAGTGAAACTCAAAAATAGTTTTTCTAATTTAAAAACCTTCATGGTGAGTGTAAAACAAATGCCACAAATGTAAACTCCTTTCTTTGGTAGACATCTATCTAATGAATCTGTCCCTTATGATCTTAAATGGAATTTTCCCAACTAAAAATCCACCAAAAACTTCATTGAATTGCCATATTTGTGGTTGATGAAAGTAGTAACAACATCAAAGCTATTCAAAGGCATAGAAGAGTGGAGCTTTTCTTGTTCTAAAAAATTCACATACCTCCATGAAACTCTTTTTCCTCACTATCAATGTCATTGTCCTCTCGGTCACGCAATGCTCCATTAATGGGAAAGAAGAATTTCGACTTAGGGCATTAGGGGTAATTTAGGATGCTGGCCGGAATCTAATCAAGATCCCGGGATCTTTGTAACATCACTCTTACATTCTAGTAGAGAATATTCTTGAAATTAAATATCTACACATGAATAGAGAATGCAAACTATTAGGGTTTTTGCTAATAGAGGGGAATGGCGCTGGCTGGGGCTGCAGCGATGGCGCTCGCACCTCGAATGCGGCCAGGGAGTCTTGGATTTTCGCGCAGCTGGGGCGTCCAGCGGCTGAGAGCAATGTGCTCGATGGAGCGCGTGAACAAGACGGAAGAGGAATGGAGAGCCGTGCTGAATAGCGAGCAATTCCGGATATTGCGAATGAAAGGAACCGAGTAAGGTGTTTTTGGATAGATTTTTTGCTGTGCTATTGCATATTTCCCATAGGCGATGCTGCATTTTTCTTGCATGATTCTACTTGCTGTGTTCTTGGCGGGACGACAAATTATGATAGTCTTTGTCTGTGACCGTGCAGGATGCCAGGGAGTGGCGAGTACAACAAGTTCTACGAGGACGGAGTGTACAACTGCGGGGGCTGCGGAACACCGCTCTACAAATCGACAGCAAAGTTTGATTCCGGATGTGGATGGCCAGCGTTTTTCGAGGGTCTTCCCGGAGCAATCAACAGAACAGTGAGCACTTTAGCTGTAGGCATCACCGAGAAATGTGTTTTCCAATGCAGGTAGACGCTGATGGCTATCGCACTGAGATTACGTGTGCTGCTTGTGGAGGACACCTCGGTCACGTCTTCAAAGGCGAGGGGTTTCCAACTCCGACGAACGAGCGCCACTGCGTGAATAGCATATCGCTCAAATTCGCTCCGGGTGACCAGGACAAGTGAGCTGTGTGGATGGCCTCTGCCAGGTACGTTCTCGAGCTCTGTTTTGTTAAGAAAAAACCAATTTTTGTTGGTACTTCTGCAGGTGACGGAAGTGGATTGTATTTGTCTGGAAAAATAAAAATCCCTCGTTTGTGGAAACGTTGTGTTCGCTATTCACTGCAAGTTGCATAGATTTTTTGTCGTCGTTTATCCGAGGACGAGGCAAGGTCTTTGCGGTGGACAGATGCCGACAAAATGCATTTCCAGTAAGAAATTCTCGCTGCTTTTGCAGTTTGATACCGCACTGAGATCATGCGTGGAGGAGGACAAAGTGGAAACGCTTTCTTCTAACATTTTGAAGGCTGTAGAATAAAAACAGGTAATCTAGAATGGGACCCTCTATATTCCTCTCTACCGAGCTCCTGTGAATATTTTCCTGGTTGTTTTCTAACAGCGAATGAACACGTGCGCGATTTGGAGATAGCGAAATCTCTCCTCGGGTGAAGTCGGGCTATCCTTACGCAGTGTTCGTGTTACCACCTTTTGGAAACTCAGAGATCATGCTGGTTTTGTGCAGGTTTGACGAGGCAGTGGCGCAAAAGAAATCGACTGTGGCTCCGTAATTGCATATTCAGGTTCGGTACTTGGATCCGCCTTTTGCTGCTTGTCTAAGATAACTCGGCGTTTTTCTCAGATTGGCGAAGAAAAGCAATGACGGGTCACATCTCAGCTCTCCTGTTACAATAAAGAAGAACACACGAGAATGTAACTGGAAAGCGATTGGGTACGAAAGCGTAGGCCACGCGAACGAACTTCCAACAGCGTTTCTCGGAATGTCAACGGAAGAGCCATGATAAACAGAGCCTCTACAGGTAAGATCCTTTCATGGCGTGGGATTTTGCTTGACTAAGTATATAGCCAGTGCGTGAGGCTACCTCCTTTCTTTCTAGACTCTTGTGATATGACTTGGTTGTCTTCCTACCAACAGGTAACAACATCAGGTCTCGCACAAGAAACAAAAGCAAAGGCGTGATGCAACAGCAACAGGTGCAATCTCTCACTTTGATTTAGTTTTTCTAACGTCTTGAGCTTGTGGTCTTCTTTCCAGACGCGGACGGGTATCTCGCAGCATGAAATCCAATTTGGAAAAATCTAGTTTCGCTAAGCAAAGGATCTGCGTAATCTTTGGCACCCCAAACAAGGAAAGGTTCGTGTTTGCAGATCGTATCGTATTTGGATGAACAGGGATAACATGAGGTTTGCAGCATTGATCAGCCGATGACATAATCTCGCAACATCGAGGCCAAGAACCACAGTGGAAACAAAAAAAATCTCTCGGGCGAGAGAAGAGATACCTATGGCTGCGCATAGGTGAACGCTCAATAGCATGCTGATGCAATCTACAGGTCTATAAGCGCAAAAAAAAAAAAAAAAAAGAAGAGGAAAACCACGCACTCAGTGCCGTGCTTTTCAACATAAATACTCTCCCAGTGCCTCCGCTGTATCACCAAAACGACCACCTTTGGCGCTTCGAGAGAGGTGAATTGAGCTGCATTGCACTCTCACATCTTCTAAAAATCTCTCTTTTCTTGTTGCAAGATTGCCACAGCGCTCGCATCTCTCCTGTGTCAAAGCTGAAAGAAGAATCTTTGTGCGGCGAGAAGAAGTGGCCAAGGTTTTTTAGCGTGTGTACGTAGAGCTTGATTTCCTGGTTTCGTGCGTAAGATGGCGCCGTGAAGCTCTCTCTTCTCTTCGCTGGATTGATCGATCAAATTCTCAGTGATCTTTCTTTCTCTCATTCTCTCTCGAGAGGAGACGATCGTCCAAGAGAAAGGAGGAGAAGATCGAAGATCATGGCATGGGCAGCACCTTACAAGGTGGTGCTTGGGAGCTTCGCGTTCCTCATCTTTTGGACGCTGGCCACCTTCCCGGCGGTCCGATGCCTCCCCGTCGGACGGACCGCAGGAGCTCTCCTGGGAGGAACGCTCATGGTCGTCTTCCAGGTCCTCTCTCCAAACCAGGCCTTCGCGGCGGTGGATCTTCCCATCCTCGGCCTCCTCTTTGGCACCATGGTCATCAGCGTCTACCTCGAGCGCGCCGATCTCTTCAAGTACCTCAAAATGGTGCTCTCATGGCGCTGCCGCGGCGCCAAGGACCTGCTCGTCCGCGTGAGCGTCTTCTCGGCGCTGGCCAGCGCGCTCTTCACGAATGATACCATCTGCGTGATCTTCACCGAGTTCGTGCTCAATCTGTGCAAGCAGCACAATCTCCCACCGGAGCCATTCCTCCTGGCGCTCGCCTCCAGCGCCAACATTGGCTCCGCCACCACGCCCATCGGCAACCCCCAGAACCTCGTCATCGCGATCGAGAGCAAGATCCAGTTCGGCAAGTTCCTCATCGGCGTCCTCCCCGCCATGATCGCCGGGATCGTCTTCAACATCCTCTTCCTCCTCGCCATGTACTGGCGGCAGCTCTCGCAAGGCCTGGCCGCCGCCGATGCTCCGCCACCCCTCCCCGCCCCCGCCGATGCCACCAGCGATCCATCCTCCGCCATGGAGCTGGGCGCGATCAAATCCATCCAAGTCATCTCCCCACACAATCACCACAGCCCGCGACGGTCGCCGCTCTCCTACGAGCGCCTCCACAGCGGGCCACTGAGCGCCGCCGCCGTGGGGGAATATCCCACCGCCGCCGCGGCGCCGCCATCGCCCATCGCGGAGGAGGACGACAAGCCCACGCCGCTCTACTCCTCCCGCGTCTACTCGCCCGTACACCCCATCGCCGAGAAGCAGCACCAGCTCTACTCTCCGCGGGTCCACTCCCCCGGGATGTCGCCCGCGGGGATGTATTCCCCCGCGTCGGGATATTCTCCCGCGCAGGCCACAGCGGCGAGGTTCTACTCCGGGCGGGACGGCCAAGCCCACCACGCCCACCACCACGCTGCGGCGCCGCACAGGGAGATAAACGAGCAGCACCACCACAGGGCGCAGCTGCGGGAGCACCTCACCACGCCCAAGGGCGGTAAAGATGTCACCGCGGACTACCCCGAGAAGCTGCAAGAGGCTACCGGGAAGGAGGAATATGCGCCGTGGTACCGGTGGGGTCCCAAGCTCCGGCGCAAGGCCTGGATGGCCGCGGTGTACGGCGTCACCGCAGGGTTCCTGGCGGCGCTCCTCTCGGGGCTCAATCTCACATGGAGCGCGCTCACCGCCGCCGTGGCGCTCATGGTGCTGGATTTCTCCGACGCTGGCCCCAGCTTGGACAGGGTAAGTGCCACCCTCGATCAATCATTCCCCCCTCCTCTTTTCGTTCGATCGATCCGATCGATTCTAGGGTACCATCATCTATGCCCTTTTTCCTCGATTCGATTGCTTCTTTTTCCCTTTTTCTTTGTGCTTCTCTGACCCGCAAATCTGATCGGGCATCCGGAATTCCAATTCCTCTAGAGCGGCCTCACGCTCTTTACGGTTCTCTCGGTTCATAGGCAGGCTTTTGCGCCGAGCATACTTTCGGTGTGTGTTGCCTACCAACATGGCGACATGGATGGATCTCTCATCTTTTTCTCTTCCTTTTTTCTCGCGTTCGCGGTACTATGGAGACTGTGGAGACTAAAGCCTTGATCTCGTCCTGTGCTCTTTCTTTGTTCCAGGTCTCTTATTCGCTGCTCGTCTTCTTTTCCGGGATGTTCATCACCGTGGATGGATTTAACAGCACTGGCGCTCCAGGCCAGTTCTGGAACGCTGTTGAGCCCCACACTCGAATCGATTCTGCAAAGGGGGTGGCCATCTTATCCCTCGTGATTCTCATTCTCTCCAACGTCGCATCCAACGTTCCAACTGGTGAGTCATTGATCCTTGTTCCCACTTTTTGGAGCTCTCTCCTTTCACTCACACTCGTGCTTACTCGTACTCTTTTTGAGAGATCCTTGTTTCCTCCTTTTTGAGCTCTTTCCTTTCAGTCACACCAGTGCGTACTCTTACTCTTTGTTGTTCCTCACAACTTTTTGCCTTTACTCCCACTCACATCCATCGTTTCTGCTCGGTGTTTCTCACATCCTTTTCTTTCTTTTCTCTGCAGTGCTGCTTTTGGGAACACGGGTGGCGGCATCGGCCGCGGCGATTCACGGGGCCAGCGTTACAAGATCGTGGCTTTACCTGGCATGGGTGAGCACAGTCGCTGGCAACTTCACTCTCATCGGCTCCGCTGCGAATCTCATCGTCTGCGAGCAAGCCCGGCAAGCAAAGCCCAACAGCTACAACCTCACCTTCTGGGCTCATCTCAAGTTCGGGATTCCTTCGACGTTGATCGTGACGGCTCTCGGGCTTCCGCTCATTCAAGGCTGAAACTTTGCGGGCTGGTCACTTTCGTTGATCCCTTCGCTGGAAGCTTTCGGGTGTATAGTATGACGCATATGGATGGATACGTAGCAAGCAGCAGACAGCGCCAAGCAAGGAACGCAAGAAAAAAAAGAAAGAAAAAAATGGAAGTTTTTCAGTCCCTTGCTTTTTAAGTAGCTCCTCTCGAGGCCTCTGAAGTGCAGGCTTTCGTTGGGCTTTTTCTGTACAATAAAAAGATTTCTAAGTTGTGAACAAAGATTTCTTCTGTGAAAACAAAAAATCGTTTTCTTTACCTGGCCAAAGTCGTGATATTTCGGCCGAGAAAATCTGACAGAAGAAATACTTTGTGGAATTTGGAGCAAAGTTGGAAACGTTTCTGGTCAACTAGTCAACCATCAAAGTCAAAACCTCGAGGTCTGATCGGACGGCCAAGGGAGAAAATTTCAACGACTACGACGTGTCCAAGTGGCATCTCAAGCCGCCAACCACGTGTCTATATATATACATTGACTTGCAGACACGTGGCAAAATATCAAACCCGCCATCTGAAAGCTCAAACGTCAAGCCGCAAAGCCTCTCTTCCAGGTTGGTGAGATATTCAGACATTTTTCTTCATTCTTTTTGTTCTTACTGGATCGCTCCCGCAGTTTGGAGAGACTTATCTATCAATCATAGACTAAAAGAGTTTTTTTTCTTGTGGACTTGGTTGATTTCTTGGTCCATCTCCATCAATCGATCAAACCAAGACTTCCCCGCGATTCCTTTTCCACGGAGTAGTGATCGATCGATCAACCGATATCCGATGATATGACCACTGACACCATCTCGTCAGCCTTGGATCAAAGGGAGCCCGACCGCGATGACGATGAATGTGGATGGCACTCCAAACGCCAAGTGCTTCCAGAAGGAGAGATTGAACTTATCGCTCTCCGCCCGGCGCGCTTGCTCGCTCACGATCAAGTTGGCGGCGGAGCCGACGAGCGTGAGATTCCCCGCCACGGTGCTGACCCAGGCCAGGACCAGCCATGCCCGCGTCACGCTCGCGCCGCTCGTCGCCGCCGCGGACGCCGCCACCCTCGACCCCAGCAGCAGCACCGTCGGGACGTTGGACGCGACGTTGGAGAGGAGCACGACGACGAGCGAGAGGAGCGCGATCCCGGACACGCTGTCGATCCGCGCGTGGGGTTCCACGGCCTTCCAGAGCTGGCCGGGCGCTCCGGTGCGATTGAAGCCGTCCACCGTGACGAACATCCCCGAGAAGAAGACGAGGAGCGAGTACGAGACTTGATCCAGGCACGGCCCCGCGTCGGAGAAGTCGAGCACGATGAGCACCACCGCCGCCGTGAGCGCCGTCCACGAGAGGTTGAGGCCGTAGAGCAGCGCCGCCAGCATCGCCAGGGTGACGAGGTAGACGCAAACCTTCCACACTTTCCTCCGGAGCCTGGATGCGCGTGTTGTCTTTAGCGGCGGCGATGATGGTGGTGGTGGTAGCGCTCCCGCCTCCTCATCGAATTCTTCCGGGACGTGGCTCCGCGTGGATCGTGAGCGGCGGAAGGAGCTCGAGCTTCTCGAGCTTCTCCGCGATTCCAGGCGGAGGAGATCGTCGATCACTGCCGGGGAGTGGAGCCAGTTTGGCGGATCGTGCTCTGTTTCCTCTGTTTGCTCCGCGTCCGCGGCGGCGATGGTCTTGCCGGATTCCTGGTAGCTCGAGGGGCTGGCGGCGAGGGGCTGGACGCGGACGAGGCTGACGTGGTCGTGCTCGCGGTCGTGATCGTCTTCCGGGAGCTCGGCCACCTTTGGAGCAGCGCCGCCAACTTCTGGCATTTGAATCATCGCCGCTGGCTTGTCAAGTTGTCCGCCACCACCGCCACCACCACCACTCTCCACGTCTCCAGCGGCGATGGCGTGGCGATCATCGATCTTGGGCAGCGGCTTGAGGCTCTTCCAGTAGAAGAGCAGCAGGAGCACGGTGTTGACGAAGATCCCCAGTGCCATTGCCGGAAGAACACCCACGAGGAACTTGAAGAAGGAGATCTTGCTCTCCACCGCGATGACCAGGTTCTGCGGATTGCCAATGGCGGTGGCGGCGGAGCCAATGTTGGAGCTGGTGGCGAGCGCCATGAGGTACGGCAGCACTGGCACGCGGTGCTGCTTGCAAAGCCTGAGCACGAACTCGGTGAAGATCACGCAAGTGGTGTCGTTCGTGAAGAGCGCGCTGCTCAGCGCCGAGAGGACGCAAATCCGGCACAGCAGATCCTTCGGGCCGCGGCTCCGCCACGAGAGCCCCGAGCCCAGATACTTGAAGAGATCGGCGCGCTCGAGGTAGACGCTCACGACCATGGTGCCGAAGAGGAGGCCCAGGATGGGGAGATCGATGGCGTCGAAGGCCTGGTTGGGAGAGATCACTTGGAAGACGACCATGAGCGAGGCGCCGAGCAAGGATCCCGCGGTTCTGCCAATTGGGAGGAATGGCACTGCTGGGAAGACTGCCAGGATCCAGAACACCGCGAATGCGATGCTCCCCAGCGCGACCTTGTGCGTCGCTGCCCATGCCATGATCGCGGAGGGGGAGCTCTTGTTCTATGTGTTCGTGGGATCGTTCGTCTTGCTGGATTGGTGATTGATCGCGGACTTATAGCATGTGGAGGAGATTTGCTGCTAATGGTGCCAAGGAGAGGCGATGGATTTGTCCGCTTCCAACCTTACAAGTGTTCTTGCGAGGTGGCCGAGATCCAGACCTGCCGAAATTCGCGTGTCAGTTCGGGTTGGGAGAGGTGATCCTGCGAAAGAGAATCGGGGCAACCGCTAGCATTCAATGCCCGAATCAATCCATTCGCAAACCAAGCGGAGCTCTCGATCGAGCTCCCACAATCAATCAGCACACGAAAAGAAAGGAATTAAAATGCGCATGCCAAAAGGAAATGCCAGCGAACTCGCGGAGGATCCACGATCGGTTTCACGAGCGCCAAGATCTCACGAGATCAAAGCAAAGCAAAAAGCAAGTAGAGATGGATGGATGGATGGAAAGAGAGGGCATACCAATTGGAAAAGCTTCCAATCCTCCTTAGAAGCCCGTCGTCGTCGTCGTCGTCTCGGTCGTAGTTGAGCACTCACGAGCTCCCCATCGCCGCATTTATAGGAAGACTCCATCCCTTCCGCCCCGCAAAACAAATCCTCATTTTAGTCCAGGGCTCCATGGATTAGGGTTTAAGCCCGCCACGTGGCACAGTCTCTGACACGTGTCCAATGCGTACGGAGCCGCCCGCCGGACGTACGCATGGCTGAGATCAGGCACATCTAGCGGTTGTGGCGACCGCGACCGTCGGATCCCGGGGGGTTCGCTAGATGATTCGCGCACAGTGACCCCGCGGCTAGAAAATTTTGGAGGTTGGCTTTGACAGTGGTTTCTCTTCTTCTTCTTCTTCTTCGCTCGTTCGCTCGCTCGCTATGCTGCTCTGGGAGAAGAAGTATCCATCGATGGGAAACCAATTGCCGCTTTCATCACCGGTCGGATCATAAACGTATGATCCTTTTCACGCGTTTGGAGACAATGTTGCCATCGAGCATTTTAAGCCGGGAAAGCTCAAGGGCCACAAGCAGACAGCTGCAATTTGGGCGATGTCGAGATGAGTGTTACAGTGACGTTTGAACTTAAAAGAGCATTGTACCTCTCTTGATCGAATTCCTCCGTTAAGTCACGGTAAAACTGTACCTGTCCTGGGCCGGCGAAAGAGAACAACATAGGAAACATTAGAAAACTTGCAAGAAAGGAGAAGTACCTCGTCCATGTCAGTGTTAAAAAAACTTTTTCCTTTTCTTGCTTTCTCTCTTCTCTTTGCTCGAGTGGTTCACGCTTCCTGTGTCCCGGAAGAGGAGGAGACACTGCTTGACAGCCCCGCGGCATCCACAGCGAATGTCGCAAGTTCATCGAAGCTTGCTCACATTCTCTCACATTCTCATGTTGGTGAATGATAGCGCCGCTGCGCTACAAGCCAAGACCGTCCAGCCGTCCGGAAGAGACTTTCCCTCCGGCTGATGATAAGAAAGAAGTTGACACCCAGAGCCGTGATCCCGAGGACATCTGTACAAAACAGGCACACGCGCAGCCTTAGACCGGAAATTTTTAGCCGAAGAAAAACAAGCATAAAAGGAAAAACAAGTTGCACGAAAAGAAAATCGTGTACCGCCAGTGAGGAAAAAACATACCCCCCGGTGCGTGCGAGATCCGGGGCTGGATTTCGCTTGGCTTGACCTCAGTGTTGCGACCTTCCCAAGAATCTGAGAAAGCTCCACATGAATGTAGAAGCTGCGAATAGTGCTGCACCGACCAGCAATGCGGTGTTGAAACCCACGCTCACCAGCAGGTTGACTAGAATGCCAGCGATGGCGACACCGAAGAAGTTTGCCCAGAAGGAACTCCAGAATGGCATTCCCAGAACCACAGAAGCCATGGCACCTGTCCAAGCTCCAGTCCCCGGGAACGGGACTGCCACAAAAAGCATTAGTCCCAGCCACTTAAATTCCTGGATAGGCCCGGCCTTGCGTCTCGTGTGTTTGTAAATCGAATCCAAAACTTTCCTGGCACTGGAGCTCCTCGCTGTGAGAAACGTAGTTAACTGTTCCATGTAGAGCAGCACCAATGGCACAGGGATCATATTCCTGCCAAATAGAAAACGCATGTCAAAGCTTGAGACGTGACATGCTTGAATGCTTAGCTATGCATACTAGAAGTTAGAACAAAACAAAACAAGATCAAGGAAACTATACGTGTGACTTACCCGGCCACCGAGAGACAGTAGACTAGAAGAGGATTCAGCCGCATCCAATACCCGACTGGAATCGCCCCGCGAAGCTCCAGCACTGGAAGCGTCGCGAGCGCAAAGACGATTGCCTCGTCTGGCCACCGCGAGCTGCGAAGATAATCTGCTATGCGGAGTCCCAGGGCGGATGCTCCGATGGAAGAAGACTCGGCGGCTCCTCCAGCCGCGGCATAGGCGAGAAGGTTGCTTGAGAGGATCCACGCAAGGAGCGAAGCAGCGGTCCCTTTGGCAATGGCAGCGAGAATTTTCTTGCCGCTACCGCTGATTCTGGAGTCCGATGGCCATGAATCGGCGTTTTTTGATGCCGCGCATCGCAGTCGAGGTTGGATCTGGATGCCTTGTCTCGAGATCGAGAGATGACTTACTTGAAGAGAAGATTTCGTGATCGGGATGCGCGGCAGCGATGCTAGAGCCTCTGCATTGCACGGCTGCGACCTCCGCAACTCCGATCCGGCAGCAGCCAAGCTCCAGCGCCCTGCGCTCACGGCAGAGATCATCCTGGCACAATAAACCCTAGGACGCCATAGCCGGGAAGAATATCCAAGAGGGAATAATCTTCTCGTTTAAATCCGCCCCAAGAACATGTTTGACAGTAGGACAAAGGTCGCTGGCACGGAGCTCTGGATCGCTTGATTGCAGCGGAGAAGATCGCTGTGGATGTTGCAGCAGCCGAGAATCGTGTTCCAGGCGATCGACGTGGGCTCGAATGGCATGCTTTCGAAGAGATCTCGCGCATCGCCCATCTCCCCCACGCGTCCGAATACCCCGATCATACAGCAGTAGTGCTCCAGGATTGGAGCGATCGCGAAATCGGTGCTCATCGACCGGAAGCACTGGCGCGCGAGATCCATCTGCCCGACGTGGTTGAATCCAGAGAAGATCCCCACGAATGTGAGATTGTCTGGCATCAAACCCTCGAGGAGCATGCGATCGAGCAGCTCCAGCGCCTGGATCGTGTGCCCGGCCTGGGAGTGCGCCAGAATCAGGTAATTCCAGGGCCCCCAGCGCGGCTCCGGCATCCGGGAGAACATCTCCCTCGCGCGATCGAGGAGCCCATCTCTGGCATAGGCAGTGATCACCGCGTTCCAGGTCACGGCATTCCACTGCGGCATGAGATCAAACAGCCGCTGCGCTCCTGCGATGTTTTTGCAATCCGAGTGCCCTGCCACGATCGCGGTCCACGAAACCACGTCGCGAATTGGGGCTCCGTGGAAGAATGCGAGTGATCGATCGATCCTGGCGTGCTGGGATGCCGCCGCTGCGATCATCACGTTCCATGCAGTGATCTGGCGATCGGGGAAGGAATCAAACACAGATTCGAGCTCGTCGAGAGGCGAGCAGCGACGCGCGTGGGCGTGGAGGAGCGCCGAGAAGGTCACGGAAGAGTGTAACGGCATCTTGTCATAAAAGAGTTTAGAAGATTCTAGATCCCCAGCTTGGGCATATGCTGCGAGCATGGTAGTCCATGAAACCACGTCGCATATTCTCATAGAAAGAAAGAGACTTCTTGCTTGAGAGACTTTGTAGTAGAGAATGTATGCCTGTAGCATGGCATTAGACATTGGTAAGCTGGGATCAAGAATGGAGTTAAAGATAGATTCCGCATCTTCCAGATGCCCGTTCTCGGCATATGCCATTAGCATCGCTGAAGAAGATACCATGCTAGAGCAGGGCATCTTCGCAAAGAACCTCGCGGCTCCATCTAAATCGCCGCTTTGCGAGCAGCAGGTGATCATGGTCGTCCATGAGATCACGTCTCTCTCAGCCATCCGATGAAAGATCTTTGTTCCATTGGTCACATCCCCAGCTTGGGCATATGCCAGGAGCAAAGAGTTCCAAGACACAAGATTGGTCTCTTCCATGGAATCAAAGAATGTCTTCGATTCGCGAAGATGCCCGGCCTGGGCAAGCGCCGCCAGCACCGCGCTCGCGGATACCACATTGTGCTGCGGCATTCGATCGAACCCCCACTTTGCCCTCTCCACGGCGCCATTTTGGGCATAGGCCGCGAGAAGGATGCTCCACGAGTAGAGGTTAGGGTTCCTGAGGCCGTGGAAGACGAGCTGGGCTTGATCCAAGCTCCCGCATTTGCCATACATGTCGATGAGGCGATTCGCAAGGTATCGGTCGCGCGAGAGCCCAGATCGCACGATCTGGCCGTGGATTTCACTGCCCAGGAAGAGATCGCGAGCGATCCCGCAGGATTGGAGGCGTTGAGCGTAGACATTGATGGCTTGATGCTCGGTGAGGAAGAATCTCATTCATTTAGGGCTTACAGCATGCCAAGTCAGCAAAAACGAAGAGCGAATATTCTGTGAATGGATGGATATTCTGGGATTCTTTCTCTTGGGACCTAACCCTAAGGGATAGATCCGGCGTGGATTGCCGGGGAGCAACGCAAGTCGGGGGAGATTCATGGCTTCCACCGACGCATTCAGTGGCGATGAGACGGCGCCCTTCTTCGGATTCATTGGCGCCGCGGCAGCTCTGGTCTTCTCGTGTAAGTTCTTGCCTCTCACCGCCATGGCTGGACTGGATCTAGGGTTGTGGTGCGTGTCTCGGCTGCGCGGCATTGCAATGCCTGAGCTTGGGCCATGGATTCGCCTTCCTGCGCGATTTCCTTGCCACAATCCCGAGATTTCGATCCCAAAATTCCCCATTTTCTTATGGAATTTTCTTTGCAGGCATGGGAGCTGCCTATGGAACCGCAAAGAGTGGTGTTGGAGTGGCATCCATGGGCGTGATGCGGCCGGAGCTCGTGATGAAATCGATCGTGCCAGTGGTCATGGCTGGAGTGCTGGGAATCTACGGCCTCATCATCGCTGTGATTATCAGCACGGGCATCAACCCAAAGGCAAAGTCCTACTACTTGTTCGATGGCTACGCTCATCTATCGTCCGGGCTGGCTTGCGGCCTCGCGGGTCTCTCGGCTGGAATGGCAATCGGGATTGTCGGTGACGCTGGAGTCCGGTAAGTTCGATCGATCAAAAGCCATCTTTTTCTTCGATATCTCCATTGATTGGTTTGTTTTTCTTTGCAGGGCGAATGCGCAGCAACCCAAGCTTTTTGTTGGAATGATCCTCATTCTCATCTTTGCCGAGGCTTTGGCTCTATACGGTCTCATTGTGGGAATCATCCTGTCGTCCCGAGCTGGCCAGTCGAGAGGGTAAGCACAGCAGCAGCAAGATTAAGGTGGTGCATAAGCCAGCATTTTAGCGCTTTTTTTTTTCTTCTTACTACCTGTATTATTACTATTCCTTCCAATAATCCTCGCTTTTCTCGTATGTTTTGAGCTGTCTCTCTCTCTTTTACGCTATGAATGTCCAGGAGATCTAGCGGCTTCTTCGATGGCTTAATTCCATTCTATGTGAAGAAGATCCGGGCTTGTTCCAGCTCCAGAGATCTTTCGAGCTGCCAGGAACTCCACCGCGAGATTGTCAATCAGGGGCTCGGGAAGAACAGGCTGATCGCGAATCTCCTCGTGGGTTTGTATGGGAAGTGTGGCAGCGTCGAGGCAGCGGGGTGTGTCTTTCGAGAGATCGCGAATCCAAACGTTTTCTCCTGGAACATCTTGGCTGGAGCGTATGCCCAGAATGGGCATAGCGAGAAAGCGAAGGAGGTTTTTGACGAGATGCCGAGCAGGGATAGAGTGTCATGGGCGACGATCTTGACGGGTTATAGCGGCCATGGTCGGGAAGCAATGGAGATCTTCCAAGCAATGCCTCAGTGGGATATGGTTTCGAGCAATATCATTCTCACGACAGCTTCGCAAGGGCTGGATCTGGAGGAACTGAGAGCGCTGTTCCAGGCGATGCATCAAAGAGATGAGATCTCCTGGACGGGAATCTTGAAACTTTATTCCGTGAATGATCGTTTCGAGGAAGCCAAGCTGGTGTTCTACCGGATGCCACAGCGAGATCTTGTGTGTTGGACTGTGATGATCTGCGGATATGCCCAGCGTGGGCATATGAATCTAGCTCGGGCAATGTTTCGAGCTATGCCGGAACAGGACGAAGTATCGTGGACTGCGATGATCCAGGCGTGTGTAAGTCGAGATTTGTTTGACGAAGCGAGGGAGATGTTCATGAGCATGCCCAGGCGAGGGATCGTTCACTGGAACGCGATGATCCAAGCCCATGTCGAGCGATTCAGAGTGGACGAGGCCGAGCGAATGCTCCACAAGATGGCACAGTGGGATGCTTTTTCGGGGACGATCATGGTGGCGGGGTTTGCCCAAGCTGGTCGACTCGATCGATCCATGGAAACGTTCCGAGCGATGCGTCGCAGGGTCTCTGTGACTTGGAACGCGATGGTTCACGGCTACGCACAGAACGGCGAGCTGGATCAGGCCCTGGAGACGCTGGAAAGGATGCCGCGGCACGATCTGGCGTCCTCGACTGGGCTCCTCACCTGGCTGGGGCGGCGCAACATGGCGGAGAAGGCCAGAGATCTCTTCGCCAGGATGCTCGTCCGGGATGATATCGCGTGGAACGCGATGCTCGAGGCGCTGGTGGCGAGTGGAAACATCGCCGAGGCGTGGGAGTTCTTTGTGGGGGCAATGCCGAGGGACCAAGTCTCGTGGAGCACAATGGTGGCGGGGTTTGCTCAGTGCGGGGAGTGGAGGCGATCGATCGAGCTGTTTGGAGAGATGCTCCAGAATGGTTTCCATGCCGATGGGATCGGCTTCGTGGGCGTGCTCACCGCGTGTAGCCATGCAGGGCTGGTCTCTTGTGCGTGCCAGTTCCTAGCTTCCATGCGCGTGGATCATGGAATCTCTCCAGAGCTGGATCACTACGGTTGCATTGCCGATGCGTTTGGACGAGCTGGGAACGTGAAAGATGGGCTCGATCTCTTTGCCAACATGCCTGTTCATCCGGACGAGGTGGTGATCAAGTCATTGCTGGGACTATTGGATTGAAAGAACAAAGATGTATGGAAACGATAGAAACTATAAGACCTTTAACCTTTGCAAGATCTTCGATGCCATCTTTAGCCCGATCCTGCGATGCGCTTCCAAAGAGATTTTCGTGGTGGACTTCTCAAGCTTGTCCAAAGACTTGAGACCTTGGATCTTGCACAATGCCTCACTGGACTCGCATAGAAGCCTCTTGAGGATCTCGCCTGTCAAGCCGTGGTTGACATCCATCCTTTCCTTTGCAACATCCATACTTTGCTTTGCAAGATTGAACTGTCGTTCCACTCTCCCTTGTTCCTCCTTTTGTAGCTTTTCTAGCTTGCGCAGTTCCACTTCCAAGACTAACCCATCCTTCTGGAGCCTGCCCTGCTTGAATTTGAGCTGCTCCAGTGCCGCTTCCTGGGTCTTGCAAATGCTGAGGAGCTCCTCTCGCTGCTTATCCAATTTTTCCATTAGAAGATTGTTGAAGCGCGTTTGTTCGTCCAGCTCGTGCAGTCCCGCTTTCAGGACTATCACATCCTCTTCGAGCCTGCATTGCAACGCCGCTTGCCTCTTGCACAAGCTGAGGAGCTCCTCTTGCTGCTTATCCATCTTTTCCATTACAAGACTG